AAATAGCATTTAAAACATATGGTTTTAGTTAACCAATTTTTTATGCAAATAATCCTTAAAAGCTTTTTATAATCGACGAGTTATAAAAATGTCTCTAAAGATTTATTTTATGAATGCAATATTTTTAAAGTCTTTTGACTTATACTCAGGATGTAATAATTAATTAATTATAATATGAAATATTTAATATTACTGTACATTATGTTTTTAAATTACGATACACTGTCGTCGTGTCAATAAAATTATATTTTAGGAACCCATTACTAAAAGCGAAAGAGTGAAAGATATGACATTATTTAATTTATTATCTCTTATTATTAAATTACCTAAATTTGTATGTAATATATAGTCACATTCCAAAATTAATTTAACTTAAAGCACGCGTAAGTCAATTAGCCAGACAACATATATTTTACAACGGAGAGAATCAATCTGATAATGATCTCAGGAATTTCTTTATTTAGTCACAGTTGAATACTAATGTTCTACAGATGCTCATATTTTAATTTTAATGACAAGATTCATAAATTTGTTATGCATTTTCTTCGTGTTTTCTTGAAATTATATGACATATTTATTGAAGCATTACTTCATTACTGAATAGAGATCCACGTGGGCTAATACATTCATTTTATGAAAATATTGTACATCTATTTTGATGTATAATTAAATAAAATTGTATTCCCGAATTTATATTATAATATAAAATTTCGGATTAAAAACTATTTAAAAATAAAATTTACGAATTAATTATGCTATTTCAGTCTCAAGTATATGTTGCGATTTGTTCTATTTAGATAATTTTACTGAATTTTTAACCATTCTTTTAATTTTGTTTTATATATGTTTATAGCTAAATATATTTATTTTTGATTACTGAAACATTGCTAATTATTTTAGATAAAAAATCTAATTCTATGCTTTTCAATTACAGAATTCTTCTCTTTTGGCATGCAGCTTTTTGAAGAGGATACTTGCGCATCGGAACACATTTTTGTTTTTGAAGACCATGAAAATACAATTATGCACAGATCATCTTTTGTTCATGGGGTAAGTTTTAGATGTATTTTGGACGAGTGAAATTGAGACCGAGACTTAATAATATTTCACGGCTGAAAAAGCTCCGGAACATCATATTAGCACGAGCATGAAAAAACGCGTTCATAAACATCGACGACGCCGTCGCCAAGTTGTAACTGTGAAATCATATCTATTATTTT